TCGTTTGTGGGGTTGGGGAGTTCCGTCTTTCTTGTTTTGTTCTATAGCCTTTTGCGTTTTGCGGGTGAGGCCCCACCGGAGCAGCCGGAGCCGGAAGCAGCTGGGCCACAGATGCTTTAAGTCCTCCGAATGCGCACTGTATGATGTAGATGGTGGATGAAGAAGGTTAAGAGTTGATCTCTTTGCTCGTGTCGCGACTTGCTGGTGAGGCGCACGTGCTCTTGCACGCATCAGCAGTGAAAGGGCGTGTTGGCTGTGATCCATGTCGTTCGCGTGTTAGAACAGTGTCCTCGTGACGGTTGTTGGAACCTTCGTCTGAGTGGTCGAGGGGACTGCCTTTCGAATGTTTTTGCATTGTTCGATGACACGCCTCTGCTCTTGACGTCCAGGTTCTTGCCCTCGAACGCTGCATCTCATGCGCTTGTTCTTGCAGGGTCTCCTTTGCATGTGGGCTCGTGGCCGTGTACGGTATCGCCCTGCACTGCCAAGGATGAGCCTGATGCGGCACCGTATCCGCCGCGATACGCATATGGACCGCGTTATGGCTATGGACACATGAGGCGCTAAGCCTGTGTTGCTTTGGGAGAACCTTTAAGAGCAGGGCACGCTGTAGCAGCAGACGTGAAGGTCCTGTGATGTCATGCCCAGCTGAGCCTAGGTCAACCTGCAACCTTCCCATTTCTTTCTTCTGTCCTTGTTTGCTTTTCTATACCTATATCTAGATGCTCTCTCCCGCCACACAGCACGATGAGCAAGAAAGTTGTTTTGTCGCAAAAGTGATCCGTGTCGATAGGGGGCGAAGACACCTAGACATTACATGGGCTGAATCAGGCTGCACGCTGCACAGGACCACGTAATCTGACTGCATTTAGTAGGTCAAGGCTGATTCACCAAAGAAGTGCGCATATGTCCTTTATATTGCATTTGTATTTCTACTCGTAAAGCGACTGCTATTTTAGTCTCGCATGTCCCGGAGCGAGCATCGAGATACATGCATCAAGATTTCCATGTACATGAATGACTGTACGCTTGTGTCTCATTTTCTCGTCTCCTCCTCACTCCTCGCTTTGTTTTTTCTCCTCTCTCTCTCTACCCTTTCCTGTTTGGTTTTCGTTTTCGGCTCTATCTCTTCTTTCTCTCGCTGTCTCGCCTTTCGTTTATGTTTTTTCTCTTTATCTCTCTATTTCTTTTGTTTGTGTCGTCTCTCCGTTTGTCCATCAAAGGCGTACACAGAGTACTCGGTTAATCCAGCAAGACATTACATATGTCTGTAGCTTGGTGTGGTACCTGCCGGGCTTCTCCCAAAGCGACCGGAGAATTTTTTAGGAACGCAGGCCCTCGGGGGGACTGACGGGCCGGCCTCGCAGGTGAGTGCAATTTTCGGAATGCTATGTTTTCCTGGGTTTTCCTGAGTCAGTTTAAGAGCTTGAGACAGGAATTTCGGTTCCCACCTGCCATGCAGACACACTGCAAACGGTGCTTCATGGTGCTGGTGAGAGTTTGTACGTTTCATTGGGTTTGCCGATTGAGTGTTTTGCATCACCCCAGGAAAGCAGCTCCAAAACAGATCGCTGCTCACTCTGGGGATGGAATCTCCCAGAGTCGCGTAAGCGCTGTCATTGAGTGCAAAAAAGGTTTCATCACTCCAGGGGAATGCATGCCGATCTCTTGCCACGATTCTGTGAGTTGGGTCGCTTCCCACATCCTGCTATTGGCACATGTGGAACAACAGTGTTAGGATGTTTGGCTTCCTTCTTTGGCGTTGTAGCACCCCGTCGCCGAGGTCTCAATTCTCTGGCCGCGGCGGGTGCGGCCTGAGGTGAAGCGCTTGGAATGTCTTTGAAGTCAGCCCTTGCCCACAGGAAACGCATGACCCCAGTGCGTAAGAACGTGTAAAACCACTGCGAAGCTCAAGCTGAACATCGTCTGACAACTCCAAATCATCCCAGTGGAAGACAACCCAGGTCTTGGAGCTCTGCCGCCCGCGCCTCATCGGCTGAGTCCGTTGAAGACAAGATCATAAAATGTGGCAGCAGGAAGAGTGGAGACCGATAGAGAGGCCATTGCACGTTCTTGACGCCAGCGCAAATCCCAAACAGCATAAGACTGCGCTATGCGTATGGCGTCGCTCGCTTTGGCCTAAGACCTCCCCAAGCGAAGAGCGCACGAAACAGACTGTCGGGAGCATGCCTGTTTTTGTCTGATAGTTTTGAGCTGAATCTAGTTTCCCTTGAATTGGCTGGCCTTCGGCTGTTCTGAGGTCGTGTATTGTCCATCATTGCCGCACAAAGCGCTTTGCATGTGCTGACATCCCTACTGCAATCCCGGCTCTGAGGCTTGGGGCCTCTGAACTCTGAACCACAAAAACACATGGGCCCCCAGAGCAAGCTCCGAAACACGAGGTGATTCTGTGAACTTCCACCCCTCGCTCCTGCCCAAAAACCGGGGCTCGCTCACGCAGCTTCCTGGCTTGAGTCACCAAGGAAAACTCGCAGGGCGCGTTCGGGGTTTGAAGGGGTTGTCTTGGCTCTTCGTCTTAGCCTCAAGGAGACCTGCTCCAGCACTTGAGGCACCGTTTCTTTGGCTGTTTGTTGTGGGGGCGACTGGGAAGTGTGCAGCCCCAGGTTCTGGAGCATTTTCGAGGGCGATGCGGTTGCCAGTGCCGGCCTGTTTTTGCAGTCGAGCCTGTCTTTCCCTTCAGCCCCGGCAAATTACATTGCGTGCTCACCCCCCCACCCCAATGATCATCACATGTCAGCACAAAGCAGCTGAGAAGTCCTGGAGGGTGGGCAGGAAGTTTAATTTATTGAATTCTTTCTGAACAACCAAACCATGTTCTCGCAGCATTGTACGACTCGATGCCAAAACGACGCAGCAGCCTTGTGCTTTTGGCCAGTCTGGCGTGACGTGCCATCGCATGGTGGAGGAGCAGCCACTCAAGCCGAAAGCAACAGCTCCAACCTGCCACGAGAGCATATGGGTTGACCCTGAGTCTCCCCCCCTGCAAATGTGCAGTAAATGTGCATCTCGCTTACATCGCTTACAAGTATGCGGATGTCTGGACCTTGGGGACCAAGAGGCGGAGAAGGAGGAAACCCACCCCTGCACCTAGACTTCTCGAATTTGCAGGTGGAGGCTCAACCCAGGTAGTTGCCTGCCTCGTGTTTTCCCTGTGTTCTTGAAGGTGGGACACTGGTGAGTTCCACGCGCACTTCCAAACCCAAGAAGGTGAACAGAGATCTGGGGGGTCGCTAGAGGAGATTGCAGCCTGCGACTCTTCCTTGGCGCAAAGGATGACCTTGACTCGGAGACCACCCGAAGCCAAGCAATGTGTTACTTCGTCGCAGCCTACGGCTGCCTCTTCCTTTGCTGGGGCTCCCCACGGCGTCCCCAAGAAGTCCCCAACAGCTTCCATGGTTCCTGTCCCACATCCTCCACGGAACCTCGCCCCCCCCCCCCCCCCCCGCACGCTTTCAGGGTTTCTTTGGGAGGTGTGAGGGGAGGGCACTCAATAATCAAGACTCCCGGGCCAGCGGCCCCCATGGCTGGAGGAGTTCGATGCCGGGCGCATCCTCTCCCGCGAGCCTGTCAAGATCGCGCATGCCGCTTGGCGAGTAAAGGAGCTGAATCCTAGGTGAAGCTGCGAGACGGGAGCACCCTGCATAGACCGCATCAAGATAGACTCAACTTAAATTCCAAGTTGGCAGTGCTTCTAGTAGTAGTAGGAACCAGAGAAACCGAAAGAGAAGCATGAGGAACTAGCAACGAGTAACAAGAGCACGGACTGTTTGACCCGAGTCATTCAATGATCTTGGAGTCTGGGTGTCACAGAGAAGCCTGAGGACGAGACAGCGCTGTCCCTGAACCACAAGATTGCTTTGGCCGTGGAGAAGCTCGCCTTAAGAGCAAATATCCAGGTTTGCTGGGTCAACGGTTTGTGGAATAGGTGGACTGGGACTCCGTGGCAGGGTTTTGAACAAAGTTTTCAAAGCTCGTACGCTGGCTCAGGACTTGCTTTGCGAATGAGCTCAGCTTCTTCCTGAAAGAAGGACCCTGCATTGCTGACTGGCCTCTGGAGGGTGTACTTCGGAAATCTCTGGTGTATTTTATTTGCCTCCAACACGGACCGGAATGCTGGTAACAGAAGAACCCTTTAAGGCATCCAAGTGATGGACAGCGGAGCCGGTCTTCTCTGGAGTCAGGGCCCTCGCAACATTTTGAAAGCGGAGGCATAGAGACCTCATAGCCAGCTGGTCCACATCGGGCTTTCGAGCTCGGGGAGTCGCTCGAGCAGCTGGAACACGAAAGCCGTGCAGTTTTTCATCAACATTCATCAGCAGATGCTGAGTCTATGCCATGGCTGGGTAGCGGGTAGAGGATTCATAGCCACTCAAGAGACGAAGATCTCGCATTTTGGGCAGTAGGCTGGCCTACGGTAGCAGCTTGTCCAACTCAAAGCCTCAAAGCTTCCGACGCTTGAAGCCGGCGAGGGCAGCTGAAGGAAGGCGAGAGCTGGGATGTGGCATCTGGCCCGCATTTTTGGTGTGTCGGGAGGGTTTCGGGAGGGTTTCGGGGGGGGTTTCGGGGGTGCTTTCGGGTTGTTCTGGGATGTTTCACTTTAAATCTACGAATCTTGCACATCTCGGTGTGTTTCCTTCCGATTTTGTTTCCGTAGCTGTGTGTTCGTCCTGAAAAGATGTCCAGTGAGCAATGCTGTCCCCAAAACTAGTTCTTCGAAGAGCATGTACGCATGACTTGCTCACACCATCCCCGAACAACAACCCCCACCCCCCTCCCCGCCCCCTCCTCCCCCCTCCTCCCCTACATATCTCATCCTCACTCTCCTTCCTCTTCCCTCAGCCCCTCAGTTGCTTTCTGCACTGCAAGCCTTAGACCCAGCTGCACCTGCTTGCGGACGCTGCTAAGCGTTGTGAGCCTTGAAACGCTTCATCTTGTTTGTGTCGGTCAAGCTGTGAATCCGCAGACGCTCCAGCTTTCAAATGGGAATCCTGTGGGAAGAAGTCTGCAGCTCTCCCCAGCTTCCGCTGACGAGGAGCAGTTCCCGTACCACTACAAGCGCATCCCGAACGATGGCGTGATTGATCCCGACTGGCCAGATGACAAGGCATCCATCGGGTCTGTCGGGTGTCTTCCATCATGCCAGGAGGGTTTAGACATTGCAGCCAAGAAAGTTGTCTCAGCAGTTGCAAGATTGGGTTTTGTTGTTAGCGAATGCCGTGCAGCTTCTCGTGCTGATTCGGTTGTGAGGACGGGCAGCAGACTCTCAGTACCCAAGACCCGTAGGGCATGAAGATCGTTGGCGCAAGGTGGAGCGCTTCATCCGGGCGATGTGCCACCACCGAGAGGGCCGTAGGGTTTGGTTGTGTTGCCGGTCAACCGAAAAGAAAGCTGATTTGTTGCGAAAGCAAGCTGCCCAAGCAACAACACCAAACACCATGCAAGCACCAAATAGGCCGTCAGAAAGTGCTTACACCAAATCACAGAGTTGACTTCTGATGGTCCACTTTCAGTTCACGAAGTACGTGTATCAGCACTGTATGCTATCATGAAATTGTGACGACTTCAGTCTCCTCAATAACGCAGTGTTCATTGCAGGATCCGCAAACTTTTGCTTTCGTTTTGTAAGTTTTGGGAAGGCCTTAGTTCGATCATTCCTGGCTTCTTTACATGTTTCACCCGAAGCGAGTGCAATGAATGAACCGGATATTGCAGCTCTTCCAGTCTTTGCGAAGATCTGTCTGAAGCAAAAACGCCTTCTTCGATTGCAATGATATTTCCGAACTTCGCCACGTCGTGTCTTCCGAGTTGTTTGTCCAGCTCTTCAAGAATAAGGTTTTGTTGACCTTCAATTTGTGCGTGTAGTTCGACTACGGTTAATTTTTGCTTTATTGCTTTGCCATGCATTGCTTTTGCTCAGAGACCTCATGAATGCTTCTCGTGGATCATCTTGCTTGTCATGTCAGCAATGCTTGGAACAACCGGTAAGTCCTCTTCAGAGTGGATTTCAGAGGAGACCCTAAACCCTCAACCCTCAACCCTCAACCCTCAATCCTCAACCCTCAACCCTAAACCCTAAACCCTAAACCCTAAACCCTAAACCCTAAACCCTAAACCCTAAACCCTAAACCCTAAACCCTGCCTGTTTTGATACTCGATGAGGTACTTCCCACCCCTGACGCCGGCCAAGTTCCGGAGCGCCGATGGGGAGCTGCATCCGGCGCCTTAGATTCTGGACGTGCTGTTTGCATCTTTTTAGGGTTTAGGGTTTAGGGTTTAGGGTTTAGGGTTGAGGTGTGTTTCAGGGCTTGCAGGCTCCGTGGTTCCATCTGTGTCGGGTTCGGCGACGCTTGGGGGTGGAGGGTGAGAGGGCCCGGCTGGCTGGCGCCGTGTAACGGTGAGCTTCTGAGGCAAGGCTCTGGCATTGCGAGGAGTCGCCAAACCCTACAGGTTTGGTTGATATCAGTGCCAGAGGGCTGGTACATGTTGGAGAGCACGAGGGGGCATGTGGCCTGGTTTAGTTGGGGCCACAGAAATGCTGTTGGCGTTCTTTCGGGCCATGCAGCCCAACCCCCACACAGCCAGTTGATGTTGAAACGGTTGACACAACGCCGTCAACCTGTAACTGCGCCACTAACTACCTAAGGTTGTGAGCCTGGCGGCCTTCGAGGCTCTGCGACGTGGTGAGGCGCCCGCACCGCCGCCGGCACCGGCACTTCCGGTGCCGGCGAATGCACCGCCGCCGGCGCCTGCGCCGCAACCGGTGGTACCGCCTTCGGCGTCGAAGGCCGAGGTGGGCCACGCCATGCCACGCCATGCCACGCCATGCCACGCCTCCACAGCTTGAGGGTCTTGAACCTTGGTACGTGCGTTTGTGTTTGTGGAAGTTGAGGCCTTCTCTGAGAGTTGTAAAGACTTTGCAGTTCTTTGTAAAAGATGTTTATGAGTTTCGGCGGTGTGAGCTTTATTCGTTGGGCCTTGTGTTTTTAGGTTCGGGGACTTTCGGGTTGAGGATAAGTTTTTTGTTTGGGCGACGCTTGTTTACGGTTCCTTGGTTGCTTTCGTTCTAGTCATGATTCTAGCCGAGTGATGTGAAAGGAGACCCGGCGGCCCTCACGTGAGCTGCCTACCGCCACCAAACCGTGACCCGGCGGCGATGCGTGTAGTGGCACGGCCGTAGTCTTGCATTTGTAGTCTTGGATTTGTGGGATGGGTCGTCACGTGTGTGTAGACGTTGGGTGCGATGTTTCGTGGATTGACACAGGCCTTCTGAGGCATTGTTTTGGAGGATTTCGGGTCTGCAGCGATGTCTCCTCCCCTACGGTCCCCTAAGGGGAGACTCAGAGGAGAGCAGGTGTCGCTTCACTTCCTTGCGGCCACGCGCACCACGCATTCTTCCACAGTCCCCCAAGTCCAGCAAAGTCGCCTCTGCCGCCACGTCGCATCCGTGGCCCAGGATGCCGGGTTGGTGGCTAGCGGCCATTTTTCCGCCCCGCGGCTCAAACATTTGGGGGTTCCAGTCTTCCGTGGGCCGGGCAGGTTTTCGTCCAGGGCTGCATGCCTGTCGACTTCCGTGTTTCGTCTGCAGATGGTTGGCGGTGCGAGGCTTGCATGGCTGGGCACAGAGATGTGCTCAGGCAACTTGTCTGCATGATACAGACAAACTTAGTGTCAGGGGCAAGTTGGCTGCGGGCTGTCGATTACGAGCCGTCTAGAAATGTGGGGCTCAGCTTCTAAGAACAAGTCTCGACAGCTCGCACCTTGATGGGTCTGCAAGGCGAATCCTTACCCTACCAGTAGTAAGGCTTGGTTGAATGATTCTGCTTCTTGCGGTTACTGCTTCTTTTCGTTCTTTGGGCGAATTCTTTAAAAACTTTTTCGCATCACATCACACGTATTTGCAATACAAAGTCTAGGTCAGAAGTCTCGGAAATATCATGTCTAGGGTTTCTTTTCTGGAGGGCCTGCATGTTTTTGCATTTTTTTGGCCGTTTCCTCGGTTTTTCCTGGTAAAACATGCGTTTCGCCTCATTTTCATTGCAAAATAAGCACACCAAAATGTTCGCAGACGCAACCCTCATTTTCCTCAGGCTTTTGATTCGCAACCGCCATTTCCTCCGTATTCTACAGGAAACAGAGATTTCCTGATGAATTTTGTGTGGACTCGACGCAACTAGGAAGGGACGGAAGGAACGAAGGACGGAAGGAAGGGAGGGAGGGAGGAAAGAAAGAAGACGCGATTCATCACATAGAATCTGATATTGGATAAACACTAAACCCCAACCCTAAACCCTAAACCCTAAACAACGGAAGGGGCGTCCGCGAATCGCGCGGAGCGCATCGAGCTCGGTTCCGATGCCCAGTGCTTGGACGGCTCGCCGGCCGGGCAGCCCGGAGGGAGTAGGGGTTTAGGGTTTAGGGTTTAGGGTTTAGGGTTTAGGGTTTAGGGAGGTTCAATGGCCTGTTAGCATTTTGGGTTGCAGGTCGAGTGCTGTAAGCTTGGACAAATGCCGAACAGCATCGCCTACAGTTTGGAATTGGTGGACAGACTGTAGTTCCATCCCTTGGCCAATGCCATGTACATCTAAGGGGAGAAGTAGTGCAGCATATTCGGAAGATGTTCCTGGGTTCTGCTTCCTCTCAGGCTTCAGGGTTGCCTCACCAAGCACGTGGCTCGCTCTTCAAACGCAATGCTCGCGTGATGGGTTTAGCAAGGATTCGTATGCTTTTGACGCAAGCATGGTTTGGTGTAAAACAGTTTCTCAGCAGTTTCTGCGCCACCCATCTTTGGTGACCTCAAAGCCCAAACGCCGACTGTACTAAGGGGAAGTGCGTGTGCGAACCGCGAAACGTGTCATATGTTAACATTGAATTTGCAAGTTGGGCGCGCGAGGCCGTTTCTCCCCAATTAAGTCCAACATCCCAAAACACCGCGCCTGCGCAGTCCAACCGATGATTTGGAGCACTCAAGCCCAAGGGCACCTCTACCTCTCCCCGCACGTCTACCCAAAAGAATCGAACGTTTCGCATCTCGTGCTTGCGCTTTGTCTCCTGGAGGTTGCATGTTTTTTTGCAGGAACTATGACAAATACTGGACTCGCCGTAGTCTGCCGCTGAACCCAGACACGAGAATAGCTTGCGACTAATCCTCCTAACCCTGCGCCGTCTTTCCATGCAGTACTGAGAGATATACTCAGCATGCATGCTCGGAAGAAGGGTTTGAGATGCAGCATTCAGCATTCCGGTTGCACTGAGTGGCAGTAGATCTGTGTGTTCTAGGGAGGGATCCTGGCAGTTCGAGTTTCTTCACGAAAGCTCGTGGTCAGGTGAACTTCTACTTGGCGCGCGGATTCCACGCTGGGCGGTCGAAGTGGGTAATTAACTTTCAGGCTCTCCGAGCATGCGCAAGCTCACGTGCAAATGCCCGAGCCCACACACACGCGCGCACACACACACACACACGCGCACACACACGGACCTAGTGGCAGGGGGGCGGCTGGTGCACGGACTCTCCGTCCTCATCATGGGCACCTGGCTACTCACATGACGAGGACTTGGATTTGGGCAGACGGGGTGTTATTCAGATCCGCATGACCTGCCTGTGGTTAGCGTTGTCGGAAGAAGACAGGACTTTACATGACACATTCCTGGCAGACGCTTTTTGCAGAATGAATGTATGCATACCAATAGAGATCGCAGCGATGAAGACAGAGCTTCTGAGGGAGTCTTTGCAGTGCAAGGCTGGAACATGCTGAAAGCTTCCTGAGAGCCGGTTGCCGAGGACGTTGCGCATCCCGACTTGTGCGAAGACCGCGCAAAGGCCTGTCGGGAAGAGGGCCAACTTGCCCCGCCCGAGGAATCCTCACTGCCTCCTTTTGCTTCTAGCCTCGCGAGATTCCTCGCTAGAGTGTTTTGGAATAAGACCTCGTCTAAACTTGTCAGGGTAACAGTAGACAGAGATCCTGAGCATGGAATCATGGGTCTGCAGGTGAGGCCGCAAGCTGGCAAGCCAGTGACCCATCCAATGATTGTTGGGGCGTAGGAAGTGGCCAGAAGCTCGGTCCGACGCTTTGCCTGTTTGCTTGCCTATGGCAGGGGTACCACGGCAGCTCTTCGAAAGATCACCAATTCCGGGACTTCGAGGACAAAGGCGAAGTGTGTTCTGCCTTTTTTTGTTTGTTGAAATAGTTCAGATCTCAGTCGCATTCGCCCTTTTCGATGCGCTGGTATGCATGATGATGGTGATGATGGTGTGGCCACGCGGATGAGGATGGCTGGACAACGGCAAGGACGATTACGACAAATATATTTATTTATCTTTTATTGATGCTTGATGTTTGGTTGTGATAGTGATTTTTCTTTATTCTTTGAGTGTCGCGGTGATGACCGTGATTGCGATGGATGTGGCGATGCTGGCGGTGATGATGAGAGGAGGATGGGAGTAATGGAGATGCTGAACATGAGGATTATGAGGATGGCATGGGTGAAGACAAGAAGGGTGATCAGCAGTAATGACCATGAGGATGGGTATGGTTATGGTGACGAGCACGACGCTGACAACGATGACGGCAGCGACAGAATGATACTCGTTGGTAGTACGAGTTTTCGAATACGCTCATAAATACTTCAGGAGCTATGTAGCAGCAATAGCGCAATGCGGTCCTCCTCGTCCGCGGACCCGAGCACAGAAGTGAAGCTTGGGGCATCTTGTTGGCGCGTGGCGGAGGGGGATGACAGGAGCGGGACGGAGGGTCAGGGCATGGATAGACTGTCTGCAAATCTCTGCGAAGGACTGATTTCTGGGCCATGTGCTCCTCGCAGTATGTGGCCGTAACAAGAGATGAAAATCACAGACAGATGGGTGTTTAGGGTTTTTTTTTGGGACGAGGGTTTTGGATTCCCCTTAAACCATCTGAAGTGTTGCTGCGCACTTCCTACCACGCTGTACGCCACAAGCTCTTCACTCATGTCGGAAGCTCTGTGGTTCCTGAAGCAGCATGCTTGAAATACCAGCGCTTCTTATGCAAGCTGCCTTGGTCGGTTAGAGTTCGCACTTGTCTTTGACCCAGAAAGTCTTGTGACTTGACGGCAAATGTCATCGTGAGAAGATGAGTCGTCGTGCCTTGCTCGTGTTTACCGCACGGAAGTCCGAGACGGGCCATGTCTTGCGTCTGCACAGCTGGGCTTCATGGTGCAGTCATCACAGCATGCTGGACAACTCGACTGGCAGGATATCTTTCTGGAAACCCGTCTGTGAACCCCATGATGTACAACTGGAGTCCTGGCTGCACATTTGCTGAGGGCCCAGAAGCACAAGGGTTGAAGGCTGATTCCAGTATGCAGTGACCCAGCCCTGCAGGGGTGCTTATGTGTATCTCGAGAGAACATGCCGAAAGCCCCTTGTGCAGCCGGAGCCTACAGCTGAACTGGGATTTCAGGGATCACTTCCGAGAACAGCTCCAGGAACCGCGTCATGCTTCGCAACTGCGATGGCCGCACGCTTAGAAGAATTCAAGCGTAGTTCAAGGTGGCATCTTGTAGTTTGGGAATTTGGACCTTGCTTGGATAGAGCGCTTGGGGACCTTGATGTTGATCACGCTGATGATGCCATGAACAGATCCTTGCTATTGGCAGGATTCGGGCATTTTCTCGGTGATGTTCTTTGTACCTTTCTTTGTACCTTTCTACTGTAGTACTACGTTCTGATGTGGCAACCGCTTCTCTATGCACAGCACACGGTTACCTGGGACTCCACAACGGATAGCCACATCTGCTAGGCTCCCTCCATTGCCAGCACTGTTTCGGTCACCATCAGTGTTACATGTTGCTACCTTGACGAGCCAAGGGACGATGTTCCTGGGCCATGCGGAGCTGTCAAAAGCTACTGGTGCTCTGCAGCTTCGAGGAGCGCTCAGCTTGCACCAAGCCCCCAAGCCTGCCCGGTCCACATGCCAGACCTCGGAGAAGCTTGAACCGCAGGCCCGAAGCCTTCTCGCCTCTAAGGAAGGAGAAGCTTGGCACAGTCCCAGATCCTCCCTGACAGGCCGCGACAATGCCTTCGCGGCCATCGAGGCTGCGGAGTTATGCAGGGCACTTTCAGAGAGGTCCTGATACCCCGGCCGAACCTACAGAAGCAGCGGGCCTGCAACGCGTACAACTCCGTACAACCTCTCCACACTTCCAACACACTCTCCGAATCTAGGATGTTGAAGCCGCTGTGGCATCCACTGGCATTTTCATGACATCCGACCAAATGGTCTCAATCCAGGTCTTCGAAGCACATAGGCTTGTCTTGAACCAATGAGCGAGTTTTTGAGGAGCCGCGAGCCCTTGGGGCCCTTGTCCGGGAGGAAATGTTGGTAGCCGGCTAGGCCCCCCCTGTATTCTTGCAACGGTCAGTGTTTTGTGTATCAATCCTCAACACATTCGTCCATTATCCCATTCGCCCTTAAACCCATCCATTCACCCGTTCACCCAGTAACCCATTAACTGAACGACTCATTCGCCCATGAAGCCATTAACAAATATGCCCATCAGCTGACTCTTTTTGACCCCATGGATGGGTGAATGGGATTTCATCGTTTCCTGCATGGGGAGCCCGCTTTTGTAAGAAGTGGTGTGTGTATACACACATGCCATATAAACACGCGCCGTTTGCATTATCCCATGTCCATCAACCCAATCGTTTTGTCCCTATGACTGGGTCAACGGATGAGCCCACTAGCTTGTGAGCCCATTATCCCACGAAGTTCATGAACCCTAAACCCTAAACCTTAGACCCTAAACCCTAAAGCCAATCATCTGTACCCTTTGAATGGATCAATGAATGGATTAAGGGGGTTATTGGGGTTAGCGGGTTGTTGGATTAACCGATTGACGCCGACAATGAGGTTGATGGCTATGTAAGGGGCAGAAGTCGTTTCATCATTAATTCAAGCTTATCTGCAACTTTGTTCATCACAATAGTTGCTTATGTAGCGTCATGACGAAGAATGCAAACTCAAAGAGAACGCGCAGGATCGATCACAGGGGAATGAAGGACAGCTGCCGGGACAACTTCACCCAAAACTCGAGCCATCAATGTTATCACTGTAGAGGCTTCTGACCCTGCCCCTCTGGAGGTAGATGCTCCAGGCGTGGGTGCCACACATGCTGCCCCCCCGAAATGCTCATGAAGACATCTGCTTCGGTTGGTTCTAGCTTTTTTTGCATGCGCCTCGTTTCATACCAGCCTATGCGCCCGCTAATATTTCAGTCGCACATTTTCTCATGCTACACCGTTCCCTACACCCAGCCCCACCCCATTGCACCATTCCGTGGTGCCGGGGCCTATTTGGGGGTCGGGATAAGAAGATTTGAGAAACAAGACATGCCGACCTAAAAGCTTGGCAGCAGGCGCTTCTGCAGCGTGGTCTGGCCGAGGCGTCCGACGTGTCCTGCGGCCGAGACCAGAAGTGTGCCAGGCAATAACTGCTAGCTTGAGAACTAGGAGTCCAAGGTTGAAACTAGACAGCGTGAAAAGGAAAAGGTCATGGGTCCAGAGGAAGCACGGGGCGCTGTGAAGGGCAACCCTTTAGGTCAGCATAGGCTCAGCAAAGGCTCAGCATAGGCTCAGCAAAGGCTCCGCAAAGGCTCCGCGACGGCTCAGCATGGGCTTAGCATTAGCATTAGGCTTAGCTTCGGCTCAGCATAGGACTACATTGCCTACATTGCTTAGCTTTGTCCATTCCGGGCCTCGAAGCTCTGCTCCGAGCGGAGATGCACCCCCGGAAGCCACCGTTCCCCACTGCTCCATTTTTTTTTCTTCCGCTTGTGCCGCACTGCTCCACCACCCAGGCTCCTTGCTGGCTGCTCTGTGGGAGCTGTGGCAGCGGTGGTGCCTCGGCGTATCTTCGAAAGTGCCGTTCTCTGTCACTGAACATGCTGGTACTCATACCCTCTGCTACAACTACTGTACCCCCCTCATCTAATGTTCCTGGTCTGTGGTTGGTTGCGACAGACATAGGTTCTGGCAGACGAAATCCGGCGGCGCATCGAAGCGGTGGCACATGGAGGCCAAGAGAGATGTGGGCGTGGAGGGCATGCCGACGTGCCGTTTCGTCCGGGTGGTCTAAAGACCTTCCCTTACATATCTCCGGTGCCTGAACTTCAACCCTGATGTCATTTGATGCCTCGAGCTCCTCGAGCTCCCTCCTCCCACCTCCTCCCCACCAAAAAACCAACACAAAACCGGCTCAGGCCGTGTCTTTGTGGCTGTATTGGCAGACAGTGGCGCATCGCGAATGCATTGGATGGTTAAGGGTCCTTGCGGGCACAGTCAAACTCACTCGAAACTTTTTGGAGCGAGATTGGCACGTAAACGTGATGATTGCCCCAATCCAAGAAGCAGCTGCGCCTTAGAAACAAACGAAAAGGCCCCGTATCTTGCCTCCCAGGTTTTTCCAACGTGGGCGCCTTCGGAAAACCCTCAAGGCGCTGTGTGTGACTTGTTCTTGGAACCTTGACATTAGGCCCTCATTAGGCGTTGGCGTCTGTACGTCGGCGCGACATGTTGCGCACAGGCTGTTCTCTTCTCCTTTCTCGGTCATGCTGCGTGAAGGTACTTTGCACTTCCCCTCTTTGGCAGAGCTCTTCGACATGGGCAATGTGAGCGACGCGTTGCCCCGGGGCTGCCTCGAGAAAGGCACGGGGGCCAAGTGCAAGGCATTTCCTTGGCGTCCAAAAATCAAAGGAATGACAGGGCCTGCTGCATGACTTTCTACATGTGCTGACTGTTTACAAGCCTTTCGGTAAGTCGCTTCAGCAGGGCTCCTCCTGCACGGGAGTGTGGTTTGATTTGAAGCAAATTGCCGGTGATGCCGCGGGTTCGCAGGCATCTGCCTTCGATCTGATTCCTGAGCCAATACGTCTGCACAATGGTCTCAGAGTCCACTTGCTGCGCTTCATCCTGAGCCTTCCAAAACCCTGTGGCCATGAGAGGGCAACCTAGAAAACTACAAAACCGGGGGGGGGGGGAGGGGTCACAGAGATCCTAAACCCTAAGCCCTACACCCTACACCCTAAACCCTAAACCCTAAACCCCTAAACCCTAAACCCTAAACCGTTTTTGAGCCGTCGCGCGCCTGGCAGGCTATGGTTGGCGCTGCCTCCTTCTGGGCACCGCGCTGCCTCATGTCAGGTCCAGCTCGTTCCTGAACTATTACTAGTAAGCCGAGCACCTGTTTAATTAATACCCCCACATTTAAAGAATTTTTGTTGTCCGGAAGCCCGCCGGAAGACTACTTTCCATTAGGGGGGATTTTGTATGGGGAAACCCCCCCCACATTTAAAGAAATTGTTTTCGGGGGGGTTTCCAAAAATCTGTCGGCAGGCTTCTTGTTTTACTTGCGGAGATGCGAAGCTACAGCACCTCAGGGATCTGCAGACTATTGTTTTTAATAGAGAATCAATGCAGGGCCATGGTCCAATTGTTGCGGAACCCCGCCTTCCTTATTGCGGTGGCGGGGGGGGGGCCCCCCCCAATTACACAGGTGCTCGGATTCATAAGGATACAAATAACATTTTTGGATCTTTTGTGCAGCTTTAGCAAGACGGAGGTTGGACAGCAAGGTAAATGTTTCTCTATATGCACATCATGCACGGTAGGTGCACCGAGAATGGTTGCACACTCTCTTCCAACCAAGCCGGGAACAGGACCCCGGCGTTCGTTTTGCAGAGCCTGGTGGACTCCTGGTCCCTGGCCCCGCGGCCCACGGCCGGGGCGCTAGCGCCGAGACCCGAGAAATTTTTTAAGGTCTCGGGGCGGAGAAGGCTTTGGGCTTTTGGAAGCCTCAACTCGCAAAGTTGAAAGGTAGCCGATGGGAGCACCATCAGCTGCCTTTTTGTCTCAGGTCGCTGCAGGGCCACATGTCAGAGCTCATCGTGGGCTCGATCCAAGGCCTGAGCCGCTGTTTCTTTTTTTGGGTTCGGTGATGGCTGGAGTCGCCCTCTTTCACTCTCGCCGATGTCGAACTTCGAGCATGCTATGCCCTCCACCTTAGGAAGGCGTGAAGGTCGAAGCATGTCACCCCGAGTTTTTTAGTTCACTATCACTCATTCGTGAGTGTAAGCCTCTGAGCCCAACAAAGCCGTAAGCCACCTTCCTGTAAAAAAAACCAAAGCCGTTGAGCTTTGTCATAGTTGGGTAGCATTTTACATTCTTAAGGGGTACTTAAACCCAACAAGCAATAAAAGCGAGTTTAGTTTTTGCCCTAAACCCTAAACCCTAAACCCTAAACCCTAAACCCTAAACCCTAAACCCTAAACCCTAAACCCTAAACCCTAAACCCTAAACCCTAAACCCTAAACCCTAAACCCTAAACCCTAAACCCTAAACCCTAAACCCTAAAACATACTCCCAACCATGAACTGTTAAAGGATGTGTTGAGGCCCCCATGGTGCAGCGCTTGACAACTGCGTGCGCCACTGCAAGGCCTACCCTGTTTAGGGTTTAGGGTTTAGGGTTTAGGGTTTAGGGTTTAGGGTTTAGGGTTTATTCCGGTAAAGTAAAGACTTAAAGCTTAGGATTGCAGAAGCCCAGATGCTGCAAGGTTCCTTTCAGCATTCAGGTTTCCAGGAGTCGCTGCGGTTTCGAAATCCTTCGAGCGCAAGCCATAGAAATCGGATTGGGCCCTAAACCCTAAACCCTAAACCCTAAGCCCTAAGCCCTAAGCCCTAAACCCTAAACCCTAAACCCTAAACCCTAAACCCTAAACCCTAAACCCTAAACCCTAAACCCTAAACCCTAAACCCTAAACCCTAAACCCGAAACACTAAACCCTAAACCCTAAACCCTAAACCCTAAACCCTAAACCCTAAACCCTAAACCCTAAACCCTAAACCCTAAACCCTAAACCCTAAACCCTAAACCCTAAACCCTAAACCCTAAACCCTAAACCCTAAACCCTAAAACCCTAAACCCTAAACCCTAAACCCCAAACCCTTAACCCTTAACCCTTAGCCCTTAACCTCTCTTTCATATATAATTTCAATGTTAAACCTCTCTTTCATACATAATTTAAATGTTAAGGAGTTACTGGGCAAGGTCGCCGTTTTACTGGGCAAGGTCGCCGTTTTACTGGGCAAGGTCGCCGTTTTACTGGGCAAGGTCAGTTCGGTCAAAAAAATCGACCTTGCCCAGTTTGCCCAGTAACGGCGACCTTGCCCAGTAAGACGGCGACCTTGCGCCCCTGCCCAGTAAAAATGCGACCTTGAACCCCGAAGGTCGCCGCTTTACTGGGCAAGATTGGGCAAGGTCGCCGTTTTACTGGGCAAGGTCGCCGTTTTACTGGGCAAGGTAGATTTTTTGACCAAAAATCGACCTTGCCCAGTAAAACGGCGACCTTGCCCAGTAAAATGGCGACCTTCGGGGCCGAAGGTAGCATTTTTACTGGGCAGGGGGGGGTGTCCGAAGGTCGCCGTTTTACTGGGCAAGGTCACCGTTTTACTGGGCAAGGTCGCCGTTTTACTGGGCAAGGTCGCCGTTTTACTGGGCAAGGTCGCCGTTTTACTGGGCAAGGTCGCTGTTTTGCTGGGCAAGGTCGCCGTTTTACTGGGCAAGGTCGCCGTTTTACTGGGCAAGGTCGCCGTTTTGCTGGGCAAGGTCGCTGTTTTACTGGGCAAGGTCGCCGTTTTACTGGGCAAGGTCGCCGTTTTATTGGGCAAGGTCGCCGTTTTACTGGGCAAGGTCGCTGTTTTACTGGGCAAGGTCGCCGTTTTATTGGGCATGGGCAAGGTCGTTCTATAAGTAAAATATTTTCTTAATGTTGTGGGATTCTTTGGGCGGGTGGGTATTTTCCTAGAGTAATTGCTTGACTAGTGAATGCTTGGACTTGAGATGCTGAACCCTAAACCCTAAACCCTAAACCCTAAACCCTAAACCCTAAACCCTAAACCCTAAACCCTAAACCCTAAACCCCCTAAACCCTAAACCCTAAACCCTAAACCCTAAACCCTAAACCCTAAACCCTAAACCCTAAACCCTAAACCTAAAACCCTAAACCTAAACCCTAAACCCTAACCCTAAACCCTAAACCCTAAACCCTAAACCCTAAACCCTAAACCCTAAACCCTAAACCCTAAACCCTAAACCCTAAACCCTAAACCCTAAACCCAAACCCTAAACCCTAAACCCCAAACCCCAAACCCCAAACCCTAAACCCTAAACCCTAAACCCTGGGGTTGGGGACATCGGGCACACCCAAATGCTACTCGCAGCATGTCATTTACTAAAGGAATCTAAAGGACCCCGAAGGCCTAAGCCCAGAGGCTTGGGGCGAGATCTTCTGGGGAGGCGTCAGCAACCGCGAGGTGCGGCGTGCTCCTGGCTTCAGGGTCGAGTTTTGTTTGGGTTCGCACACGGCGAGATCAGGCTCCTGCATGGGCTTCGTTTTGGTGCTCAAGCTAAACTTAATATCGCGCAGTACCCAGGAACTGTCAAACTTTGGGGGCCCTCACTTACTCATTCCACAACTTTTTTGGGCCCCGGGCAGGGGGGTTTCAGGTCCTAAACCACCGGCCGGCTCTCAGCCACGGGCTCCTTCGAGAAGTTGCATCGTTTTCTTGTCTTGGTTGAGGGTGATGTCGTGCCTCGTGTGCCTGGGGCTTGCCGTGGCCTCACATGCGGTGGCTGGAATGCTACATGACACGGGCGCAGAAGCGGATGTCCCTGCGGAGGAATCATGCATGCTCCACCTCGGCACGCATGCCAAAATCACCAAGGCCCTGGATCCGCAGGTCACCTTCAGCAACAAGACGTCGCTGGTCGGGCAGTATTGCTACGATGCACAGAACCAGAGCACGGCTGCCTATGCCACCTTCCAAGATGTCGCTTCCCGAGAAGTTTGCCAGGAGATCTGTCAGGTGGATGTCAACTGTAACTTTTATGGCTGGCATGGCTCAAGCAGTGCCTTGGAAGCCCCAAGCCGCTGCTACAACTGCGCCCTGTACAAGAGCTGCGAGTTTCAGCGCCAGTCAGTGTGCAAGGATGTGACTCCTCCCTCAAACTTCGAGAAGAGCCCAGCCGACACTGCAGCAGCCATGGTTCAGAAAGACTTCGCGGCAGACTTCGAGCTGAACGGCCAGTTCTGCCAACGGAGCCAAATCTTTGCTGCACAAGTCGCGAACCAGAGCGTCTGCCGCAACTACTGCCAGAGCATCGCCGAGTGCAAGATCATGGCCTTCTACCGCGATAGCCGTGTGCGTGAAGATGCAGCCCCGGACTCCTGCAACCAGAACTGCCGGCTCTACGCCGACTGCGACAGTCCCGTGGCCTCCCTCTGCTTCCACCCTCCAGTGCTGTGGACCGTTGCGATTCCCACCACGACCACCACGACCCTGAATGCATGGGTCGACCTGACTGGGACCCTGGACATGTCCGCTGGTCCTGCGGCGAAGTTTGGAGCCACGCTCGCAACCGGGCCCGGGGGCAAGGTCTACCTCTTCGGCGGAAGCACGGATCAGGGACCCACCGATGAGTTCCACTACTATACCTGGACGCCAGCCGCGCAGCTCAGTGTTGTCACGGGTCTTGCTTCTCGTCCCGCCCCTCGAGATTATCACAGTGCTGTGCACGTTCGGTTTTCCGACAGCCTGCTGATCTACGGTGGTGAGGATGGTTCTCGGATCTTGGGGGACCTTTGGGAATTCACATGGCCACAGAATGGGAATCCGACCTTCACCCCGCTCACCGGTCTCAGCCCGATCGGCAGGTATGCCCATTCAGCGGTGTGGACGGGACCAAGGGATGGCAGCACTGAAGGTGCCATGCTTGTGTTCGGAGGGGTGACCGCAAATGGAAAGGTCAATGAGATTCTCGAGTGGGACATCGCAACCACGGCATGGTCGTCCGTCACCGTGAGCGGACCGGCCCCAATTCCTAGAAATACTCACGCGGCCGTCTTTGCCGAGAACTTGGGCTCAAAAGGCCTCATGTTGGTCTTCGGAGGTTGGGACGGCAGCGGACCTATCGCTGACTTATGGGCCTACGACCTCGATGCTAGGACCTGGTCACAGCGCGCCGCCCGCTCCTTCAAAAACTCGGCATCAGCCGTGTGGAACCCTACGAAAGACGCCATGCTGGTGTTTGGGGGGTCCGGCAATGGGGGGTTCTCAAACGAGCTCCTGGAATGGCGGAACGACACCGACGAGTTCATGCCAGTGACAGCGGTTACATCGGCGCCAGCGCCGCGTGAGAAGCATTGCGCTGCATGGGTTGATGGAGAGGAGGCCATGGTGATTTTTGGCGGTTGGGACAACAGCAGATATGCTGACACTTGGTTGTACAAGCCATGAATGAGGACCCTGGCACGACGGTACGGGGACGGGCACGTTCTCCTCAAGGAGTTTTGTCCCGAGTGAGCGAATCGGCCCTCGCAGGAGCTGTGCCAGGGCGACGTCGGCCCAGTTTTTCGTTTAAAGCAGCTCCACGTTGCGGGGTGCAGGCTGCTTTATGAATTGCCTGTGCCTGGATGCTCTCCGTTGCGAGACACCCAAAACTGTTTAACGTTGCTTCGAGTGTCGCATAGTGTCACAAAATCGGAGCCCGGAAGCGAAAAAGAGGTGAATGCCAAGCGGAATGCAGCTCGGCATGCTTTGGCTTTCACGTTCGTGCTGTTGTTGTGTTCCTTGGTTAACCCTTAAAGCTTCCGCTGGAGGGGTTGCCTTTTGTTAGGCCGGGCTTGTTATGGCCCTGGTCGCACTCTGAGCCCTGCAACAGCCGTCTGCGAACCACTCAGAAGCGCCTAAGTTTCCAGAACCCCGGTGTCTACGCCCTGCTACGCCCTACTGGGGCTGTGTTGAGGCCTTCGAGCGATGGTTCCACCAGCGCAGGTGGGAGTGGGCCACGGGTGAGGCACGGCTCCGAGGGCTCTAAGCGCTCCAAGGTGGATTTTCGTAACCTTCGTGGTTCGGGGGTAGTACCGGTTGCTGTGTGTCAGTTGTTGAGTCAACTGCAGAGAGCCATGTAGCTCCACTCGTTGTGCGTATTCCGGCCCTTCATGAGGACAGCTCTATCACATCTGTAGCCACTGGCTGGAAACTCCACCGGCCCCGAATGCTGTCCATGTTGCAACGATGGTTCACTCTCTCAGTCCTTGCTGTGGTGTGGGGTAGTGCCAGAAGCGCCCAGGCTGGAGCGGATTGCCAAGATGATGCGAGTTGTGCACATCTTTCCGTGTTGCAAATGCACCTTCTGACCAGCGACAGCAGTTCGTCCGAACCTGGATATTACTGGGCCTCCGGTCGAGGGAACTTTCCGGAGTATGCAGTGTCTGTGCATCCCGCTCCGTTCAACCTTTCGGCCACCTTTGCTTGGCAGTGGCATCATCCGCTGGGACGATTTGCAACACTGACCTACGGCACAGCTATAGATGGGGACAGCAACGTCTACCTCTCAGCGGCAGATGGAGTCAGGAAGTTTGACCAGCATGGTGCCATGCTCTGGGAGTACCCGTCGCTGCCTGCAGAGGTAATGAATGCTCCAGCATTGTACAATGGAATGGTATATGGCAGCGACACTCATGGTCACGTCTTCGCGCTGGACATGCAGACGGGCAAGCGAATCTGGAAGACCCGCGTGGCGGAGAACGTCGGCCAAGACAACGGCTTCAACATGGCCCACGCGGGCATCACGCTTGCAGCATGTGATTGGCGCAAGCCATCTCCACACGGGGAGGCCAACCAGAAGATCAA